GCACAGTTTATAAACATTAAACAAAATGCAACATTGGGCAGAATTAAACTCTAAAACACAACAGTTGGGTAAAGAAAAGGCAGGAAAGTGTAGTGGAAAGAACACTAAGTCAGGACACGTGGGATTCAGTTCTAGCAGTCACTAACTGGTTGCAGGACTGGCCAGGTCTCTGAACCTCTACTATAAAGTTGGGGGATAGTTCTACATGATTTCTAAGAGCACTTAGAACTCTGTGACTAAGTGCTATGTGAGGGGGAAAAGGGAGAGAGCCATCTGGGTGGCATTTGTTGGGTAAATCTTCCAGAAACCGCCTGGAGGAGTACCTGCTGGCACCTGGGGAGAGCCCCAGGTGGGTGCGGAGCCCGGGGAGCGCTGGGCAGGGCCGGCTGCTCCAAACACAGTGTCTTTAGGACGGGAAGTCTCGCAGACGCTTTGGGGTAACAGGTCCCGACCACTGACATGCCCTGGGCATCCCCTGGTCACATCACTGCCCAGAGGGGGAGCAGGTGGGAGCCGCTCGTGGGCGATGCCCCTCAGACCCTCTTCTCTCAGCGCCCCTTGGGCCGTGTGTCCCAGCTCCGCGTGGGCTGCAGGGAGAGCTGCCGTGTGTGGATTCCCTGGGCCTCGGTGGCGAGCCGGGGCAGGGGAGCAGGAAGAGTGCCTCTCGTGGTTTTAAATCGCAGCCATGGCCCTGCTGCACAGAGCCAGGCAGATTGCACCCCACGGAGGGAGCAGGAGCACAGAGCAGGGAGCACGAGTCTCGGAGTCGCTGGTCTGCAGAGAAAGGAGCCTGAGTGGCCATAGCGTGTGGCCGTCGTGGCCATCCTGTCCGTGGCACCTAGTTCCTCACCAGGTGGTGAGCTCCAGCAGCCACGGCGGAGCCCCTGCAGGCCTGTCTGAGCAGCTCCCTGTCGGCCTTGCGAGCTGCCGTTCCTTCTGCCGACCCACCTCTGTGGCCATGTCGCCAGAGCTGATGCTCAGCCGGCTGCTCTTCAGGGCCATTAAGATGAGCGCGGTCAGGACGGGCGCCCCCGTGGGGCCCTGCGCGCCCTCGGCGAAGCCCTGACCGTGCTCCCTGTCCCCAGGCTCGGGGGCTGGTCTTTCGGAGGGCGAGGCCCGGATCCTGCTCAAGATGTGAACTCAAACCTGTCAAAACCAGAAAACCTCGCAAAGGTAATAGTTCTTGTTGTTTGTTTTTCCTGTTGGGAGGCATTTAGGATATCATACACCTGAGACCCAGGTATATTCGTGGGCTTAGGAGGAACCAGGCCAATCCCAGTGTGTGTTCCTGTGGAATCAGAATAGTTCAACGGCCCCGAGCGAGGTCCTTTTCCTGTAGCCACGGAGCGCACGGCCTCTGCTGGTTAGGACCAGGCCCACCCAGTAGACCTGAAGCACATGGGAAGGCGCCTGCGGCAGGACAACTGGAAGCGCCCCGGGGGCCCCTAGTGGCGGGACGTCCCACACACTAGCCTGCCCCCTCCAGAGCCCGGAGGCGGGGCCCAGAGACCACACAGACGCAGGGGCTCAGCAGGACTTCCCTATGCCCCTCGAGTGTGCAGAGGGCTCCTCAGGTGAGGGGATGAGGACGGGGAGGACACACCAGCGGGAACTCGGGTGCTGAGTCCCAACAGGGCGGTCACAGGGAGGCCACAGAGCCTCACTCACCTGCACACGCGATCCCCAATGCGGCCTCACTCACCTGCACACGCGATCCCTGATGAAACATTAACTTGCTGTGTAGACTGTTCAGTGGTCTCTCTTTCAGCAGGCAACACTTTTGTTCATTTCCTCTGAGAACATTTTAGCCTTTCATGGCACTAACACAGACCTTCCGGTTCACATGGGTGCGTCTTCGCTGGCATCTGGGCCGCAGCCGGACCCCCCAGTCTCTGCTGCAGGGGGTGTGGCCTCCGTGCTCCCCTCCGGCTCCGCTTCCCTGGGCTTAGCTTCGTCTTCTGCACCGACCTGCAGGACTAGGGGCTTCTGCAGTCTTGAGGTTGTTGATCTAAGAATGTCCAAACCTACAGAGAATTTTTCTAAATTTCCTGCATAGAATGTTTATGAGTTTATTTGAGCCAAACTGACAGCATGCTGGGAAGCAAGGTCTCAGACGTCCAGAGGACCTGTTCGCAGTTTCTATCCTGCGTCTGGAATGGAGGCGGGAGAGGCCGGCGGGGACGGCTACGGGGAGAACAGGATTCTGTCTCTGGAGGGCCTAGAAGAGGGGCTTCACAGGTGTGCTCACCGGGGTGCACAGGAACCGTGGGCAGGGCTGGCCCGAGGCAGAGATGAGCCTGTTAGGAAAGGAGTCACCTGCCTGGGAGCCACCATCCACCATGAGCCGTCTTGTTAGACTTTATGGTCCGATCGCCCGCCTGTGAGGTTACTGCTGTGAGGTTACTGCTGTTAGAGGTATTGCAGCCCCCAGTTTTCCCTCCGTGTGCTTGGCGTGTATGTGGCCGGGCACAGGAGTGCTGGCGGCTGCCTTGGGCACATGTGTAATTTCTGTGACAGTGACCCCCGTGCCAGCAGCAGAGTCTGTCTCAGTCGCCATGCGCATCCCAACTCTGAGCAGCGAGGGGCTTAGGGAAGCCCGCGCTCCTCACCCTGTGCAGCACTCGCTGCTGGCCAGATCCCGCAGCTGAGCGCCTAGTCCGAGGCCTGAAAGTCGCCCGGGGAGGTGTGGATGGGGAGGGTGCCGGCCGGGGCTGTGGGTGCAGTCCAGCCGGAAACCCCGGGGCCCAGAGCATGGATCGGGGGAGGGGCAGCCTGTGTCCCAGCCCCCATGGCTCCACTTAGGTGTTTATACCCTTGTATGGGGTCGTTTTTAAGATGAAAAAAGTCACCCTGCTTTTAAAAGAAATGAAAAACAAAGCATGTGAGTCCCCTGATCTCATACAAAGATACCACTGTTCCTCGCCTTCGCCAGCTCAACAGTCGGGGAGGCAGGTCGCGGGCAGTGGGGGTGCAGGGTCCACAGGCAGAGGTTTTCTCCATTTGGTCCCTCGACTTGCACAAAGCCCCACGCTTCTGTCACGGCCAGAAACAGGCTGGTGCTTGTGCGGGCGGCAGGCGAGGGCCGGGCTCAGTCCCGCAGGCAGGAGACTCGCTGAGTGGGTGCAGGAGGCCGGCACGCCTGTGGGGTGATACCCCTCCTTCGGGGCGGCCAGTCCGTGCTCCCCTGCTTTTCAGAACTTCGTCTGTCACACACGGACCTGAGCTCCCCTTGGTGTCTCCACACCGTCCTGCCATCCGCCACCTGCCTCTAGTTTGCCAGCCAAGGGCATTATGCTGCCCTCGGGCCCAGCGGTGTTCCTTCCACTTGGAAATGCTGGAGGAGGGAGAGGGCGGCGGTGGCCTCTAGAGGAGACAGGGCCCATCTCCTGAGCTGCCAGTGAGGTGGTTGTCCGAGAGAGGGCGGTATACAGGTGTCCGTTTTAACCACGTGGACAATCGTTTACCACTTAGCTGTTCCGTGGGCATCATAGTTGCCACACAGGACCCCGGTTAAGCGTCGGGCACAGTGTGGCGAGGTGGGAGGACAGGGCTTCGGGGCCTGAGAGCTGGTCCTGACGAGGCATCAGCTGGACAGCTTGGCCGCCCCGAGCACGCACACTCTGGGAGCAGCTCAGCTCCGCAGCGGGGGTCTGTCCCAGGGACGGCATGTCCCGAGGGGTGGGCTGTCCGTCAACAGAGCGAGGACCGGAGTTTGCTGGTTGATGTACTTTCTTCTTCTTTTTTTAAAAAAGTGTTTTTTACTTATTTTTAGAGAGAGAGAGAGAGGAAGGGAGAAGGAGGGAGAAACATCGATGTGAGAGGGAAACTTCCACAGGCTGCCTCCTGCACGCCCCGCACCGGGGATCGAGCCTGCAACCGGCACGTGCCTGACCGGGAATCGAACTGTGACCTTTCGGTGCCGGGACGCTCGGCCACCGAGGCGCACCAGCCCAGGCGATGCACTCACTTCAAGACACTCGCCAGCCTTCCACATGGAGATTGTTTTTTAAGATTCTCTTTAAATACGAGCATTCTGAAATACAGATACTGATGGCTCAATCAGCACCTCTTAGTTACTGACGATCTCGACTTTAATGACGTCGTCCGTCTTGCTTCCTCACCGTCCTCCGCTCTGGCAGGCGCGCGACTCCATTCTCCACGCTCAGCAGATGCTCAGCTCCCTTGATTTTAAGAAATCATGTCCCACGTTCAGTTATTAATTTGAAAGTAATCTTTTTTTTATCACTTTCCTCACTTTTAATTTGCAGGTCAAATTTCATTAGCTTACCAACCGAGAAAGAAAAAGGATGATGGGTTTAGGTTTTTTCTCGCTGTGAGAATACAATTATAGAGCAACATTCACATTTGTTCTGGGGAAAATTAATCTATTTTTAGCTGTGAATTATATGCTTGAGATAAATGTGAAATTAGCGGACGGGAGCTGACCACTCACAGTCAGCTGTGCACAGACATCGCTCTGAGGCAGCATTTAGGTCCCGCGAGGCCGAGGGACACGCGTGGTCCTCGTGTCTGAGAAGCACTGGCGAGGAGATGCGCCCCCCGCCCCCGAGCGCTGCAGCTGTCCTTCTCTCCCAGGTGTGGTACAACCAGAAGGCCTTCCACGCCCTCCCTTCCTACCTGAACCACCTGAGCAACCTCCTCCTGTGGAGGCTGCTGCCGCCGAACGCGGACTGGAGACAGTACGGTGAGCCCTGCGCAGGCTGCACGCCTCTCCCTTCAGACGCCCGCACTCCACTAGCGAGAAGCAGGGGATTCGGAACAGGAGCCTGAAGGTGGCGAGCAGTCAGCCACGCTCACTCAGGCGGTCGCGGGCCCTGTTGTGTCTGGTCACTACAGCTCCCTCTTCGGGGCTGTGCTGGGGGTCGGTGACGGGGGAGCTCTCCCTAGCGGGCTGGCTGGGGTTCTGGGGGCCTGAGGCAGCCTCTGCCATCACCAGGACCTCGGGAAGGGAGGTCGAAACCCCTCGGGCTGGGCCTCGGCCCGTCACGTCTGTGTGGGTCATGGTCCCCGTCCAGGCCCGTTTTGGCAGATGACGGTTCATCTCGGCGCAGAGTGGATGGCTGGCTGCGGAGGTGCCCGGTGCTCCATTTGCGGGGGGCGGGGGAGTTGTAATTTACCGAATTCATCTCCTTTTTTTCAAAAGGAAAGAAAAGGATGAATAAGCACCAGCCGGCCCTCTGCACGTCATTTATTCACCATATCTGTTGCCAGCCACATAGACATGAAGGGAAACATTTGCCCTAACGTCCCAGCACCTCGCTCCTCCTCACCTGTTCTCCATGTTGGGCTTCCCTCACCACCCGTTTTAAAAATACGTTGGACTTGCTTCTGTGGGGCCCTGTATTTTGGAATAATAGTAGCAAAATCGAAGCTAGAGAGGTGGCTGGGAACGGAAACGCGCGTGTGAGGCCTGCAGCGGGCAGAGGCCGCGTGGAGCACGTGTGGAGCCAAGGGGGACACTAGATACTCGGCGTCCCTGGTCTTGCTGCATCTTCCCGTCACTGCTTCCTGGTGAGACAGGCCTGCAGGCTCGGGGCCAGGGCCGGCTCTGCCAGGGTGCGTCCCTGAGCCGGCTCAGAGGTCAGAGGTCACCGCTGTCGAGAGCCTGCCTGGAGGGGTCACACACACTGGGTAGGGGTCAGGATGAGAGAGGAACCATGGCGTCCATTCCCAGGATAAGCTGGGCCAGTGTGACCTTGTCGTACAGGAGGGTGTGTATGGGGGGGTGGCCGTGACCCCTCCAAGGCCATCTGAAGCCAGGCCAGCTGAGCTGGACCAGCAGAGAGGAGTGTGGCCTTTACCCGGCAGGCAGAGGACGGCTTGCTCTGACGTTTGGGAACGGGAGTGGCATGTCCAGCTTACCCGTTAGGGAGAACCCTCTGGAGGCCGTGCGGGTGGGAGGGCTGGCTGTCTGAGAGGCGCCGGGCGGGCTCGGGCATCTGGGAAGTGACAGAGCACAGACAGGTGGGGGCTGGGGAGGGGAGATGTTTAAAGACTTGGCAGCCAGAGAGCTAGGCCCCCGGTGTTAAGAGGGAACTGCGTGTGAGGTAGGTTATACCCGTGGTGGGCAAACCGCGGCTCGAGAGCCACATGCGGCTCTTTGGACCCTTGAGTGTAGCTCTTCCACAAAATACCTCGTGCGGGTGCGCACGTACAGTGCGATTGAAACTTTGTGGCGCTTGCGCAGAAGTCGGTATTTTGAGGAAGAGCCACACTGAAGGGGCCAAAGAGCCGCATGTGGCTCGTGAGCCGCAGTTTGCCAACCACTCTAACTGTTAGAGTGACCCCCGTTCGCATGGGGTCACTTTCAAGCCGCTGGAAGGCACTGGCCTAGACCAGGCGGACGTGGCTTCCCAGCGAGCCCTCAGGTGGGGCCACCGGTAGGAAAATGGTTGACTGAGCTGCTGTAGCCGTTCATGGAGTATCACTGCAGCTCTTTAAAAGAAGAGATTCTGTTCTGACCTAGGAAAGAAGATGCAGCTCTAGTATACGACCTGTGTATTTGTGGGTCACGACTGGACGCATTGTGTGGGCTACTGTCATTCTTTAAATTGACGATTGGAGGGAAGAGAGGTCAGTGCCCTGACTAGAGAGTCAGGTGTCACATGTTTGAAAACTTCCTGGGCACCAGAGGGAAATGGCCCACTCAGGCCACGGGGTGCTTGTCAGAGCTGGAGGTCAGTGTGTCCCTGTCAGCACCGGGCCTGTCGTCAGGTGTGTCCAGCGCGCTATGGCCTCCCCTTCCCGGGCACGGGCGCCCCAGCCTGGGCAGAGCCCACAGGAGTCCTTGGGCTTCCGCCGCCCGTGCAGGGGGAGGCCCGGCTCACGTCCCCGTCTCACGTCCCCGTCTCTCGCAGGAATAACGCTCTACAGCCGCCCGT